TCGTATCACAGTAAAAACTATATTTCTATTTTTTAATGTCAAATTTTACTATCGCTAGTATTTTGAATATATCTCCAGTTTCAGGTTTGAATATTCGATTATTTACTAACTTTATACATAATTTTAAATACCCTAATGTTCATATTCTACGGGGGTTTATCTGAAATAATAAATAGATACCAAAGTTATTCACCTATCCACTCCTTCCCTGAGATGTCTAACTGACATTAGAAACCGATGTCAGTAATCAAATATTCACGAGCAACCAAACTTTGATCCTATATTTTTTCGCTGAAAAATGGTAATTAGAGCGATAAAAAGGAATTGGATAAAATATGGCTGAGCCAACCAATTGGTGATCAGCACAATGCAGAGATAATTGCCCATGATCTAAATTAATCCATTGGTTCAGTTTCTCGTTTCAAGGGAAACTTTCCTTAAATATTACGACGACCTTTTATCTCATTATATGATAAAACAATGATGGTAAGAAAAAAAACAACACAGAACTTAAATCGAATATAGCTGAAATTATATAACACTTACCTCCACATCTAAATGTGAGAAATCGGCTATATCAAAATGTATTAAATCAATGGGTTAAAGCCGGGAAAGGGTTAAAAAAAGAACCCGATAGAAGAAAAGCTCCAGATATAATTCAAATTTAAAAGAAATATTGTGAAAAAATATATCTTCTTATCCACAATAGAAATAGGTGAATTGAGAAAATTCATAATTATAGATGGGGCTTTCACTGCCATAAAATTTAAAATATACCTCAATTTTACATCAAATTCATTGCTAATAATGGATAATGTTCCTATTTATCAAGCGAGGTTAATTAGGGAAAATTATCCAAATATGATATTTTTACCACCCTATTCGCCATAATTAAATACGATCGAAAATTTTTCCGGAGTTCTTAAAAATCAATACCGATCAAATTATCTTAAACCAATTAACCGAATATAGCTATTGTTACGCGTATATTGAGCAGTTGTTTTACAAATAATTTTTTAAATTTTTATTCTCACAACACAAAATTTATTGAAGATGGAATTCAGTGCATTCCTTTAATGATTGGATTTATAATTTTGTATAATATTTTATATACGTCTAAATAAATAATAAATAGATTATATTTATTTTGGTGTCTCGAATTGATCATACAAATAAGAATGAACTAACCCTAAATTCGAATTTTCATTCTTGTTTATTAAGAAATTATTCTAATTTTTTATCCTGGATTTCCAATCTTTAGTTAATTAAAAGTAAAATTAACTTTAAATTTAAAAAAATTTAGAATATATTTTTTAAAAAAAGTTATTGTAAAATTCTAAATTTTTTTTATAGAATTTTATTTTATTCTCATTTTCCACTTAAACTTTTGTCCTAAACATAAAAAAAAATATCTCGAACTTTTTCAGATTTCGAAAATTTTTCATAACTTTTTGACGTTAGTTTTCATAGTTTTACAACTATTATTATTAATAAATTTTTTTAGAAAAATTATATCAAATTGTTTTTTACAATAATTAGGGAAGGTTATTTAACCTTATAAGAATGTTTTTCACATTACGGAAATGTGTTACAATAAATCATATTAATACTGTATCATATTTCTTGTGAAGTTTGAAAGGAATATTGTGACATAAAAAATATTTCTTTTGAAAATGTATTTTTCCTGGACCAAAGAGGGTTTAAAACCCATATTATTTCGTTTATTGGGGGGTGGGGGGGCTTTGAGATAAAGGCCATCTTACCTCCCTCCAAGGGAAAAAATATATCAGTCCTATGCACAATAGGAATAAGTGGATTGAAAAAATTTACAATTATAGTAGGCTTTCACTGCCATAAAATTCAAAATATACCTCAATAAATTATAAGCAATTTTACCATCGAATTCATTGCCTAATAATGGATAATGCTCCTATGCATCGAGCGAGGATGAGTGTAAATTATCTAAATATCATATTTTGACCACCCTATTCGCCATAATGAAATCCGATCGAAATTTTTTTTGGAATTCTTAAAAATCATTACCGATTAAATTATCCTAAACCAATTAACCAAATTGAAGTTATTGCTAGTTAAGCGTATTTTAAGCAGTTACTTTACTTATAATTTTTAAATTTTTTTACACTATAAAATTCATTGAAGATGGATGAATTAGAGACTTCAACCGTGGAGACAGAGAGGTTATGACTCAAAATTTTTATTAAAATTGGAAAGGCTAGGTAGTATGAAGAAGCTATCATCATTTGAATAGTAATTGGTGGGGGGGGGGGGGGGTTTGATTTCCTTTTTTTGTGCTAATTTGGATTTTATTGTTTTGCTGCTAATTTTGTATTGGTAGGAGGGACCAGTTGGATAAAATTTAGATTTTTTATAAGGGGAGGGGGGCAAAATATTTGATAGAATTTACAATAAAAGAGAGAAAAGTAAGCAGTAATAATATAATTTGTTGTAACACATTTCCATAATGTGAAAAAAATTCTTATATTGTTAAATAACTTTCCGTAAATATTGTAAAAACATTCTAATATAATTTTTTTAAAAAAATATTAATAATGAAAGTTTAAAAACTTTAATGAAGCTAAGGTCAAAGTTATGAAAATTTTCAAAATGTGAAAAAGTTCGAATATATGTTTTGAAACAGGTTTAAGTGGGAAAATGAATTTAAAAAAATATTTCTTGTATTCTTACAATAACTTTTTAAAAAAAAATACATTATAATTTTTTTTTTAATTTAAAGTATTATTCATTTTAATTTTAATTTTAATTATCTTAAGATTGGAAATCAGGATATTTTCTTAATAAACATGAATGAAAATTCGAATTTAAGGTTAGTTCATTCTTATTTGTATGATCAATTCGAGACACCAAAATAAATAAAATCTATTTATTATTTATTTATTCTATGTATATAAAATATTATACAATACCAATCAATTATAAATTCAATCATAAAGGAATGCATTGAATTCCATCTTCAATGAATTTTGTGATGTAAGAATAAAAATTTGAAAAATTATATGTAAAATAACTGCTCAAAATACGTTTAACAGTAGCAATAACTGTAATTTGATAAGTATTGATTTTTAAGAACTCCAAATTTTTTTTAGTTAGGATTTAATTGTAGCGAATAGGGTGGCAAAAATATTATATTTGGATAATTTCACTAATTATCCTCATTCGATGAATTTAAGCATTATTCATTATTAGCATTGAATACAATGGTAAAATTGTATATAATTCATTGAGGTATATTTTTAATTTTATGGCAGTGAAGTCCCATCTATAATTGTGAATTTTTTCAATCCAATTCCTATTGTGCATAGAGATATATTTTTCCTTGGAGAGAGGTAACTTAACCGATGGCCTTTTCCCCAAGGGGGCACAACCGTAGTGAGAAATAATATGGGTATTAAGCCCTGTCTCGTCCAGGAAGAATACAATTTCCAAAGAAAAATTTGTCATCTTGTCACAATATTCCTTTCTAATTTGAAATACACCTGGAGCATTTTTCCTATTGGATTCTTTTCTAACCCTTTCCTGGCTTTAACCCTGATTTAATACATTTTGATATAGCCGACTCTCTCACCTTTAGATATATGTTTTTGATGGTATGATCATTATTTAATTTACCAAACAATTCAGCTATATTCGATTGAAGTTCTGTTTTATTTTTTTTTCTTCCGATCGTTGCTTTATTATTAGATAAAAGGCCGTAGTAATATTAGAAAGTTTGCCTTGAAACGAGAAACTGAACCAATGGAATTTAGATCATGGGCAATTATCTCTGCATTGTGCTGATCATCAATTGGTTTGCTCAGCAATATTTTAGCAAATTCCATTTTATCATCGCTCTAATTACCATTTTTTTCCGCAAACAAATAGGATCAAAATTTGATTGCTTTGAATATTCAAATATTGACATCGGTTTGTAATATCAGTTTGACATCTAAGGGAATTTGATGGGATAGTGAATCACTTTGGTATCTATTTGTTATTTCAGTTAATCCCCCGAGAGAACATGAAGTTTTATTAGATGTTTCTAAAATTATGTATATAAAGTTAGTAAATAACAAACCTGAAACTGGAGATATATTCAAAATACTAGCGATAGTAAAATTTGACAATTAAAAAAAATAGAAATATAGTTTTTTAATCGGAAAAAAAATTATTAGAAGTTTAAAATAAATGTCACAAATTTAAAAAAGAAATATTAGAAGTTTTAATTTAAGTTGTAAAAAAATTACTGGAAGTTTTTAAAAATAATAATGTTTTTCTCAACATTTTCTTTCAAGTTTTTAAAAGTTTTTTAAAAAAGGATGGGGTTTTCTCAACAAGTTTTTACAATAATTACGGATATAATGTTTTTTAACATATATGGAAATGTTTTTCAACAAATCATATTATTAATGTATTTAACACGCAGTTCTTATTCAAAGAAATCAAATTAATAATAGCTAAAAAAAATTGCTTAAAAAAATTTGATAATATATTTATTTGGCGGCCTATATTTTAACAAATAATTTTATGATAGATCTTAATTTCACTCCTATCTGAGTATTTAGTTCCTGCCCCTTCACTTTACCAGTAGATGCTCTTGTTTCAACCATCTGCCTTCTACTAAAATGATAAGATTTTACTAGTTTAAGATTAAATTTGTATTATTTAAAGTCTGCATTCTGATATTAAAATTTTTTATTTTTTATTATATCAAATTTACCAATGAGAAAAAAAGGTTGCAGCTTTGGCAAAATTTGAAAATTAATATTTTTTTTTATCCCATCAAAAATTTTAAGCTAAATGCTAATAAAATTACGATGACAGCGAAAAATATGTATACATATTTTTTTTTTGCGTTGTAAAAAAATAAAAAATAAATATATAAATTAAATGATATTTTATCATCATTTTCACACGACCAAATATTGAAAAATATAATTTAAAATATTTTTTATTGTAGAAAGCGTTATTTATAATAAGTGTACCTTTTTCCGGAATTTGGAAAGAGAATATAGAACCTTTTTCTTTGATTTGAATAGGTAAAGTCGTCTGAAATATAATATTGTCTGATATTTTGGATAAGCTTTTTTTGTGCTTAAAAATTCCATAATCGTTTTTGTTTAATCTTAAATATTTTAAAATTGATTTTAAATTTTGTATAGAAACTTGATGAAATTTATTTTTAGTTATAATAAAAAAAAATTCTTCTTTTTATTTCAAAAAAATATAAAATTTATTCAATTTTTTCAATATTATTTTTATTTTAAATAAAATACAATATATATACTCCACTATGACTATCTATATTACTGTAATATAACTTCGTATTGTATAAGCAATTAAATCCACATCTAGTATTTTTATATTAATTGCTATCAAATAATTACTATTAATTATCCTATATATTTTTTTTTAATTTTCCGTATAATATTCTCTATATAATAATTTATTAAAGGGGACTTCTTTTTAAATTATATATCATTATCTCTGTCTCTGAGGGAAGCATAAATTATATAACTTGTGTGCATTATATTTTTCATCTTTATCATTATAACAACACTATCATTAAAGGATATTATCAAATTATCCGTAATTTATTTAATATTATATAATTTAAAATTTTTTTCTTATAGAAACTAAATATAAAAACATTTAAAATTTATATTAAATTTTTAAATTTTTTTTAGATTCTTATAAGTATATAATATTCATAAAAAAAATATTGAGTATTTATTAAAATCTTGTTAGTTGTTACCTTAGCTTATTACATTACCAACCCATTTTATATATTTTTATTTTTTGAAACATCCTTCCATTTTTAATAATTTTTCCCCCTTAAAATTAAATTTTAAATAAAGAAGTTAATTACCAACATCCCTCAGATTAAATAACAATTATTTATAATTATAAATAATTAAAATTTAAGTTTGAAAAATAATTGGAAGATAAATTATGTAATTATATATAAATATAGTAAAAATATTATTCTATAAATTAGATTTATAACTTATTACACTGAAAAGAAATTAAGGGAAAATTCTGGTATAATTATATCAAAATCAAGGGAAGGGAGGGGGGAGGGGGTTGCAAAAAATTTATGTATGGAAATGTAAAATTTTAATAACTTGACCATCATACTCTGTGCATCAGCAAGTTTAATATAATTCTGATGAAAAATATTATTTATTAAATACTTGCAATGGTTATAAAATATAAACACATCACAAATTTCAGGGATGAATAAGGGGGCAGACCAAAAAAATTTATATTATTTAAATATATTAATAAATTCTTCTACATTAAGTCTCTGATTTTATAGGCCCATGCTCATAGTGAAATGGTAAATTAGAAAAAACTTCCTTTCAGTAGAAAACCCCTTATTGAAATCGATATTTTCTTTGCATTAGAATGTATTAACAAATAATTTAATTATATTTATTTTATTCAATCACTTTCAAAAAAAATTATTGATTTAGAATGGTATAAATTTTACAAATTAGTCAATTATACCGATTTTTTACATTTGAAATCTTATAGCTGCAATTTGAATTTGTATTTGAATATCATTATAATTATCAATTTTTATAATCCAATAGTCAATAATTTATTTTAAATACAAATTCAGATATATAAAATATTAAATTTCAAAATAGTTAGATATTAAATTTTAAATGAAGATAAAAATTATTAAAATAAATCAGAGACCTGCAGTATTTTTTTTAAAATATACCCAAGCCGGGCTGAATATTTTAGATCTCCATTATTAAATAAAAATTAAAAACAAATAAAATATATTTTAAAATTGTGTATCATGTAACAACATATCACATTCATTCATTTATCATATTTCCTATTTCCATATTTTCGATCCTTAGAAAATATTTCTAGTAAAATATATCAAAATTTATTATTCAACTAATCAGGATAAAACTGTTTTATTCCGAACGTCAGCTATCGTGAGGGAAACTTCGGAGAGAATCAGATGTTAAGATTAGTGTTTTGCCCCTATACCCAGGTCTGACGATCGATTTGCACGTCACGGACCTCCGCCAGAGTTTCCTCTGACTTCATCCTGCCCAGGCATAATTCAACATCTTTTGAGTCCCAAGGTGTGAGCTCTTTTTCCACCACTTCGCGATTGCTCCAATTATGGCAGAACGGAAATGCTACCCACCGAAATCGGTATCTTGTTCAATCAAATTAAAAGAAACAAAGATACACTCAATATTTAAAATATAATACACTTTTTAAGGAAAAAATTTATTTTAGATAAACATAATTTTATCTCTTTTTCTCTATCCTAAATTCAGGCAATTACGTATGTTGCCAGAAAGAGAGTATTGACTGTTACTTATATAAAAGACTATATAAAGTTACAAGAGTAACAGGAAATGATAGAAACAATCGACCATTTAAATTGAAAGTGTGGTAATTTAAAATCACGTTTACGACAATTGGGGAGATGATAATTGGAAAAGTTATTATATATGGATTTCGTATTCGTTAAAAAAATGATCCGTAAAATGTCGAATGGTATATTTTAATTTTTTTTTAAAAACTAAGGTCGTAGAAAAATTTACATACCCCGAAAATTTTTTCAAATCCTAGCCGGGCCATGAAAATGATAATGATATTCTTTAAAAAATATATACTTATAAACTTTTTTTGTGATTTACAATTAAATTGGGAATTTTAAATAAACTTTGGTATTATTTCACAGATAATGAAATTCAAAATGTCACAATCATCATTTTAAAACGTTTTAAAATTATTTTGAATGAATATTTCTCATATATTTTAATAGTCATTGTCTTCATTTTGAAAAATTTTAATTTTTTGGCTGAGCATCTAATAAAAGCCAATAAAAATACTTTTAATAGCATTGCTAATAAATACTTTTACCATTCTGAATTTAATTGTCACTGAAATTATGCCAAAATTAATTTAAAAGATCCATTTCTATATTATGCTTTTCCGATTGCCACGTCACATGCCATCGTTACGTGTCATTGTGACGTTTTATAAAATTTATTTTCACTGGAATTGGATAGAATTTTACATATATTCTTCATGTCATGCATGCCTGTTACATCATTTTTATAATTTTGCATGGTTTAGAAATTCGAATTATAGCAATAAGATAATGAATTTATAATAGCGTCATAGTGCCAAAACAATTAAATATTCCTGTCTAATTGATGATCCAACATAAAAATTCTTTTAGGATTGTGTTAATTAATTATTTTATTGGTTTTATGAATTAATTTCCTATTTTCTTAATTAACTTTTACATGATAATCATATTTTCATTCGTGAAATAAAAGTCCAAGTATACCCTTATGAAGTTATTTTAAAATAGTGTCCATTTTCCTTGACGATGAATTTCTATCCCATAGGGAAATAAACAGTACTTTAATGCTGAAACCTATCACAAGTCCCCTGAAAACTATGGAGAACTTAAATATTTTAGATCTGGAGTTACTTTTCTCTTTCTCATTTTAGATTAGATTTTCATAATTTTTTTGTTGATTTTATATAAAATATGCTTTAAAAATTTGTTAAAAAGTAAGCCTCCATAAGTTAAAATTTTTCGCTAAGCCCCTAACCCTCTTCCAAAAGTTGGGAAGTTAATTAAATTTCCGAAAAACTTGCTGAACGGTGCATTCTTTTATTACCTTGCTTATAAATGCCAATTTAACAAAAAATATAGAAATTTGTTTTATTAATTTTTCATTCTTCTAGAGGTTATAATTTATTTATGTGCTACATTATATAAGGTGTTATAAATACTGTTCATTATAATTTTAGTTGATATTAAAATTCACATTTTTTATTCCATTAGGCATATCCAGAGTGGCTGTCGTTTTCTACAAGTTTCATTGGAAAGCTTTAGGCCCTTATTTAAAGGCCTTTGGATTGTGGAGAAAGTAATAATGGGGTTACTCAAAACATTTTCTCTAAAAATTTTATTAGTCATAATATTGTTTAACTTATATATATTTTTAAACTTTCTTTATATGAATGCCATATTATATATTTTTTGGGAAGAAAGTCTGGAGGGGAGAATATTAGGGGAACCTTTTTTTATTAGCTAAAATTGAACTGCCAAATTTACTAAGGAACCCCCCCCCCTAGTTATGCCAATAGTATATTCTTTAAATAATGGTATTCTATATACTATAATTTCTACACACGAAGAAATTATCATGAAGAATATCATTAAACGATAATGAATAATTAATGAAAATTTATACAGTCACGAAAAAAACGGTAAAATTTATATTTGAAAATTTATTTTTTAAAAAAACATACTATTTCATTAATAATAATATATCTATAGAATAATGTGAAACGAATGGAAATATGGGGTTCTTTGTGTGTGAATAAGGCTATCTTAATAAATGATCGTTTAAGAAAAATTTACTGTATTCATTTATTTAATATATTATATAATATATTATTATTTATGGTTTATAAGGAGTTTAAAAAATATATAAATTTAGGGTCATAATAAAATTATTAATTTTTTTCAAAAAAAAAATGTCTATTTTATTAATAAACTCATAATATAAATTATTAAGTACGTGGAGTGGATTATAAAGAGTCTAGGTTCGAAGAACAACAATTTATTCAACCCTATTTTTAAAATATTAAAATGCTTTAATATGATACCTCTCTTTAATATTTAAAAAAAGAAAATTTATACTTCTTGCAATGCATGGTTCTTACTTCTTAGTGTACAATTCAGAATCGTGTTCTATACGCTTAAAGATGCACGTCTAAATCTAACATATTAATAGTCCCGCCTTAAGTTTAGGGTAACTAAAGATTATCTCGCTATTAATTTTTTTTTTAATTTAACATAAGTATTTTTGAAATCATGTCTTTGTTTATACCTAACTAAATTTAAAGTAAATTGTAAACTTAAAGTGATCTACCATATATGTCTTTATCTTTATATCATATTTATCATAATTTGAATATAAGTTTTTTTTAAAAAAAATTTCTAACTTCCACTCCATTGGTCTATAAAGAAAGATATTTTCGTTTTAAAAATGTTTGCAGGCACTAAAAATACATAACTTCCAAAAATAGGCCTTTAAAC